TTCCTGCCTTTAGATTTGTACCCAAACTAGCCCTTGGCCCAAAGTAGATCAAGTATATCCAGTAGTCGCATCCGCTCAGTAAGCAGTAATATTCCAAAACCATCTCACATATTAACAATTCAACAGGATATTTGTTCATTCGTGGAGGCGGAGCATCGTAGAGTGGGTATCACTTTAGAACCAAGACATAACCAATGGGAGGAAAATCATCCCCATAACCGACCCAGCGGCCCCCACCGAGCGACTCAAGGTCGCAGCGGACCCAGCGCTACCGGAGGGCGAAGCCGACGGTGTGCTGGATGAGGCCGATGCAGAGGCAGAAGAAGCGCCTGCCGACTTTGACGCAGCAGCGACTGCAGACGAGGACGCAGTGCCAGAGGACACGCCATGCGCCACACCAGGGTGCTGCGTGAAGGTGGCCGAGGGTGCTGTCAGGATCTCAGCTGGGATGGTGGCAGTGGGATTGGCGCTGTCCTTGGTGATGGTAGCCACAAGAGTCGGGTTGACTGTCAGCGAGGTCGAAGAGGAATCGTCGCCGTCCTCCTTGAGGAGACGGGTGTCATACATGACTGTCCAGCTTTTGGAGCCGCCACCTGTTCGCGCACACGTCAGCTCTCTGCTTGGTTGCTTGGTCTGCAAAGCAACGGTGTTTATATGCACGTACAGTTTTTATTTGGATATCCAGGACACGGAATATCGCATTTGTCGTTCGACACCTTGGCGGAAGAGGGAGGGAGACTGCTGCCGCAGTAACAGTCGGTTCCCTGGATGGCAAGGACGGCGTTCTTCTCGCACTTTTCCTCGCAAAAGCCGCCGGACATGAACGGAGAGGAGCCGGCCAGGGTCAGATCTCCGGGGCTGCTGTAGCATGCTGATGAATCCTTCACTGCGAGGACATGGGGTGTGAGGGACATAAGCGAGAGGAATGCGAGGTTGAGGATCTTTGGATACATTTCGGTCGTGGGGTAGGAAAGAGTGACTGTTTTAATTGCTCGCGGACGGTAATTCACAAAGTGAAACGATCAAATAGAAGATCAAGGCTGGGGAAAAAAAAAAGAAAAAAAAAGCGAGTGAGTTAATCAATGATCTTAAACATGTAGAGGGACAGCAGGGAGCCCTTTTTCTTAAATAGGACCCATCGCTAAATTTAAGATGGGGGCTGTCAGCGTCAGGTTTCAATTTCTCCAGGTAACTATGGAGTAGCTGTCTGACTGTCGAGGCAAATTGTCAGTAGACTGAAACCGCATCAGAATGCTGATCCGAGGATCCCGCTATTTCTCCAGGTTCCCAAAAGAGTTCATTGGTTTGATCAGCAGTTCCCAAACCCCTCGGAGTGACATCTGTGGCAGGGAGTTTCGACGATCCCTTGCACTCCCGAGGCACCATTTCTGTTTTATCACGATCGCTTAAGGCTGCTCGGCCTTTCCGCCGCAGTCAGGATTTTAGCATTGATGAATTTCACTAGTTTGTGGTTCTATTTCCCCTTGGTGATGTCAAGGATCAACATACTATTGTTTTCTGAGACGACTACCCGTCTACTCACGGAGCAATCCAGTATTGTCCGTTGACAGTCCCCAGGTTTCTTGCTCTTTTCAGGTGGTGTTACAGATTGCAACAGCTTCGGGGTTTTCATCAGCCTGGTCAGGCTCGTGGAATTTTAGTCTGACGGAAGATCTGAGATAAGTCATAGTTAGGTCACTCGCTTTGATTTTGCTCTTGACGGGTCCTTTGCCGACATTCGCCAGAGCCTCGAGATGCCCAAGAATAAAGATGGGACAACTGTATCGTCACGAGACGGCACCTGACCCTGGTCAACAAAGGAAATCAACTCTGCTGGTTTTTCTTCCATCCATCCATCTGCCGCTTATTCACCGCTCAACTAATTGTGCTCATCGATCCAATGCCTCGTGATGATAGAATTGTCGTAGCGATATTTGCCAATAATAAAAACCCCAGCCTGTAAGCTCAAGAGGCAAAGATCTCCCAGGCCAACGATACGCAAGCCATCATGATGGTCCATGCGACGATTATACCGTCTGGGAGGCATACAGTTGACTCAATCTATGGTGAACCCTTCGAAGCATAGCTTCTGGTCTCGCTCCAAGTTGCAGCCGTGCATTATTAACGAGGGGGAATCTCTGTCTCCTGCCTGGACCTGGCAGTAGTTCGCAATCTCACCAATCTGTCTACTACCTTGGGGCTCATGAAGTGAGGTTGAGTTTGATAATTTCTAAACATGGCGGTGAGTCAAAATCTCCTGGACAGTTGACATCCTAGACTTCTCCGTTCATCGCTCAATCAGATCATTTTCACTAGAGATTCATCATCTCAAACCAACCGCTTATGACCTTCCCGATCGGGCAAAGCGATCCTTTGGCGCGCGGACTGACCCGCCATTATCTATACTGGCCTGCGAAATAGACGTCTCACACTGGTGAAAATGCGAAGTGACGGAAGTGCATGCGGAGAAGGAGATCGCACTGATAACAGGTGCGGAGTGCGGACTTGCAGCCAGAGATAGGATAAATCTCTTAAACAACGCTGTTCTGGCTTTCTCTCCTTTCCAGTGCAACTGTGCGATTTACACACAAATCTGGCCCCGGAAAATCGAAGAAAATGCGGTGGTTCACCCACGTCGTCCCGGCCGTCATATGGTTCGGAATACCCTCGGCTATGTCACTCAGTATTCCTTCTCCGCAGCAGATCCTCAAGTCCTGGTCTGGCACCAACAACATCTGCCCTCTGGCACCCAAGGTCGAAGTGCCTGAAGATGGTCTGCTTTCTGCGCTTCGATATGTCCAGGATGAGGCCATTCGGCTGCAGCAGGTTGGCCGTCTCTCAAGGGCCGTCCAGATTCCCACCACGGTGAATGACTACATGACGGACCCGTTTGACGAGGGGTTCGCTCCCTTTGTTGACTTCCAAGCGCTCTTGGAATCGCTATTTCCTCTGACGTATGCATTTCTCTCCTGATTAAATAGAAGGAGGGGCTGCTAAAATGATATGTTCAGTCATTCGTATGCCTACGTGGATCATATCAACAGACTCGGCCTGCTCTACACCCTCAATGGCACTGACGACTCACTTAAACCGATCCTGTTCATGGCTCACCAAGACGTTGTACCAATCAATGATCCTTCCGACTGGACTTATCCACCCTTTGCCGGCCACTTCGATGGCGAATGGCTCTGGGGCCGAGGAGCTAGCGACTGCAAGAACGTCTTGATTGGCCTCCTGTCCGTCATCGAAGACCTGCTCCAGCAGAACTGGCAGCCGACACGCACCATTGTTCTCGCCTTCGGGTTTGACGAGGAATCTCATGGCTTCCTCGGTGCTGGCTCGCTCGCCTCTGCCCTAGAAGAAAAGTACGGCCCACACAGCTTCGAGTTCATCCTGGACGAGGGCGGCATGGGGCTCGAGAGTCTGGGCGATGATGTTGTTTACGCGCTCCCTGGCGTAGGAGAGAAAGGCAGTATAGATATTGTGCTCTCTCTCGACGTCGCCGGCGGCCACAGCTCCATCCCGCCTCCTCACACGGGGATCGGCATCATGGCTGAGATCATCTACGAGCTCGAGCGACAGGACCTATTCGTCCCTGTCCTTACCGACGACCACCCGTCCCGCCGGATGCTCGAATGCCAGGCTCGCTATTCCCCCAACCACGTCGAGCCCTGGCTCGCCTCCGGCCTTCAGTCGTCTGACCACGTCGCGCTAGCCGAGAAACTCGCATCCTCCCGCGGCGACGCCTTCCGATACATCCTGCAAACCTCGCAGGCCGCCGACATCTTCAACGGCGGCATCAAATCCAACGCTCTGCCCGAGAAGATCTCCGCGCTCGTCAACTATCGCATTGCCCTCCATCAAACCCCAGAACTCATCAAGCAGCGCGCCATCGACATCATCGCCCCCATCGCCGACAAGCACAATCTGTCGTGGACTGCATTTCCAGAAACAGCCGCCACCGCCGATAAACCAGCCGTCAATAATCGTCTGACCTTGTCGACTCTCACCACGCCTCTTGTCCCTGCTCCCGTGAGTCCTACCAACATCGACACCGACGCTGTCTGGGCTCGGTTCGCGGGTGTCGCGCGCACCTCCTTCGAGTCCGTCCCCAGCTTGAAGGGCAAGACGGTGGTGGTCAGCGGCGACATCATGACGGGAAACACCGACACCAGATTCTACTGGGCCCTGTCGCGGAACATCTACCGCTGGAGTCCGTCTCGCAGGGGCGGTAGCCTGAACATCCATACGGTCGACGAGCGAGTCGCTATCGACGTGCACCTCGAGGCAATGGTTCTGTATTACAGTATGTAGATCTCCCTAACGACAATGCTTATCCGTACTGACTTTTATAGACCTTATCCGTTCTTTTGACGCTTGGAATGACTCGATTGGAGCGTCCCACGATCTCTGAAATTATCCCTCGCCGATGCGTCTTGTAGCCATGCCATTCGATCTATAAATCGTGGTTATATTCAATTTGGTGAGCCAATTGGACGACAAGACGACAGAAGGATAGAATGCATCCTATGCAGATAAAATGAGGCATTCGTCATCACCTCGATGCCAGTAATCGCTCATCAATGCGGGATCTACTTCTTATTTGCAAGCGGCTCCCAGGAAGTAATAGCGAATCAGGTAGCATTTGTGATCTTGTGGCTGCCATGCATAACAGGCTATGTACGTGCACCTTGAACTTGGCTGTGCTAAATATCAAGCAGCGGCCTTCAGCGACATATACTTGGTCTAAAGATGGTATAATAATAGACATATCCAAGCCATATCCAAGAATTCATACAGAAGAATAATCAGCTTGTGTCTCAGCCGAATGACCAGCTAAACGCCAAGCACGATCTAGGGGGTTACCAATGCTTATCGAAGACCCTGCTCCAGAAGTAGTAAGGCGAAAGCACCGCCCATCACGGGTCGCGCAACGAAGGCGATTCCGGGGTAACTGAGATGTCAGCAGCGCTCGCAATCGGTACATCAAGAAGAAAAACTTACTCCCCGCTAACAGTATCATAGAGGTCAGTAAGAGCGCGGTTTGTAGGTGTTTGATTGATCCAATTCGCAAGCAACTCAATGAACATGTCCCTAGTACTCGTCGAGGCAACCGCTGCTGCGAACATTTCCCAATCACCTACGAGGCTCAGGTCAGCTCATTGAATATTCTCTCAAATGCAGAATCCCATTGAATGCGTAAACAAAGGTATACGAAAGGACAGAAATTCACCTTTAGTATACTGGTGTCGGGTGTCCAGCGGCACTCCATACTTATTCTTCACTGTTGGGTAGAACTTGCTCTGCATATCATAAACAGATTGGGGCACCAGGTTCAAGCCCAGCTCACGGTCGGTGTAAAGGTTGTACAGGAGACCTGTTATCGATCAGCTACGAATACCGCTGAATGGAAGTAGGGAAACTAAAACCGACCATGAGAATCATTTGAGCCGTAAGACAACGTGGTATGTGGAAGATCCGCCTCATGAGCAATACCCAGTACTTGCCACCTATCGATATAATCGTGGGCGATAGCAGAACGATTGGTAGCTGCGTCAGCGTGGTCGGTGAGCTTGCTAATGGTCGCCATGGCCTCAATACCAATAATCCCCTTCAAAGCCAGGTTGGTTTGGTTGCTATAGAGAAATTTAAGAGCACGTCAATGTTTCAATCCTGGGTCAGTACTTACGCCAAAGGGCCAGCAAAGTCGTCCGTCGATATCTGATTCGCCGGGTAGATAGCTTCGTCGACCAGATATGATGTCCATTGCTCCAACAATGCGTAGTGTTCGCTCAGATAACCCGAGTTGGATGACTTGAGTGCGTACGCCAGAGCCATGATTATCATATTTCCACATTCTTCGAGCGGCATTGGTTCATCATTGCCTTCAGGGTGGCCAGTGGCGTTGGGATAATGGCTTCCAATGTCATGCATCGCATAAGCGTTAGGGTATTGCCCGGATTTCTGGATTTCAAAATTGGGCTTCAGAAGAAGCTCGAGCAGCTCTGGATTGGTGTACAGGAATACTGGATGAGCAGGGAAAATGACGTCCACAGTATTCATATTGCCGTTGGAAGATATCTCCTTCATAAAGAGATATGGATTTTGCGGCGTGCCGCACAACTGGGTTGCAGCAAAGGCTTGACGAGCACTGAGAGATGTAATAGTCAAATAGTCTTGACCAGCCGCTGCTATGGAGTCCCGCGCAATCTTCTCGTCCAATGCCGAAGAGAGCTCGTTTGCTGTTGAATAGTCGTAATGGAAGAACTCCAGCTGGAACATAGCAAAGGTTAGACAATTAGCAGCAGAGGTATATATCAGATGGCAAGAGCGCTCACAGCAGCCAAGTCGTCGTCAAAATAGCTTGTCCACAAGGAGGGCTCTGCCCGAATGCCATCGGGGCTGCTGTATTGGATCGCTTCAGTTTGAGCAAGCCCAATAGTGAAGCGTGTATCGACTGAGGACGATGTAACCGAACCCAGGTCAATTGCAAACCCGAAAACCGGCCAATTTGTGGAGATGGCTCGATAATTTGAGTCTTTCGAGTTACCCAAGGTTCCATTAGCGGCGAATGCACCCCGAACAGCAACATCAGCCCCCGACTGGTGCGTCACTTTCTCGCTATCCTCAGTTGCCCAGTACCAGTTACCCCATTCCCCTTGATCTCTGACTTCCGAGAAAAGCAGTTGGGTCTGACGGTAGACCTTGTGATAAGCAACCCCGTGGCTTGTGACACCATACTCCCACTCCGCAACAGCAGTGCGGTCTCCAGACACCCATTCTAGGCGTTCATCAGGACAAGGGAAGCTTGCAGATCCGAGTTTTGAATATAGACTCACCGGCAGAAATGTCAGAGTAGAGCTGTACGTCGTGAGAATGGCCGTCAGATGACGAAACTTCGACGTGAACATAGGAGAATGTCAATGACTGCCTTCGTAGATCATTCGGCGTTATGGGAGACAAAAAAGTGACTTTCATCTCCACAGCATCTCCCACATGAAATGTGAAGATGCTCTTTGTCGAGGTGTATTCATATGCAGTCTGGTTGGCAGTTGTCGTTCCAGGCAAACCCATCCATGTGTACACAGCACCGTCGACACGGATTAGCCCAGCCCAGCCATTGATCTGGCCCCTGTAGTTTCTTGTCAGAAAGGTGCGTACATGTTTAGTGACAGATGCTTACTCCCAAAAAGTTGGCCATTCGCCGGCCAAATAGCCACCGTTACCTCCATCACTTCCTGCAGAAAGCCAGGTGCTCAAGTAAGGAGACTTTACTGCCAAGGGCAGCGCAGGAGGTCGTGCAGGAGAAAAAGTTGACACCGCTCCTGCTAGAGAAACCAGGAAGGCGATTAACACGCCAAGAGGAAACAGCTGCATGGTGATAATGTTTACCGGACGATCAAGCAGGGCTCATGGAAGATTTTATGAGGACTCTGGTCTGGAAGCTAAACAACAGATCAGCGATTCTGCCACGATAAGCAAAACTGCCAATTGAGAATGTCTACTGGAATTCTAGGGGCGGTTTTATAGCTGGGCAAGATCGACATACCCGACGTAAGGAACAACCCTGCCACGGAGAAACTCAGGAGTGACTAGAGATCAGTCAGTCGAGCCACGGTCTAGAAGAAATTGAGGAATGGAAACACGCATGATAGAAAACTTCCCAAAAGTCGTCTGACCTGTTATTGTCCGCATGGAGAGACACATGGACCTCCTACTCATAGGGCCAAGGGAAGGACATGAAGGTACAAGGGCAGGGGGAGGGGCAAGTATGTGGGGGATGATCGGACTGTTTACCATGCAATGTGCAGACAATTAATCTTTCATTCCTCTGTCGCTGTTCCCCCTCTCCGTTCTCGGCCAATGTGCTTGCTGAGGTATTGGCCGTCTGTAGGCTGATAGCGATCTGATGAAGCCAAAGGTGCATGCACTAAGCTTAGATAGCGCTTGTTCAGGAGATCCACCTGAGCATAGGGTAGCAAGTCTAACGGGACTAAGTATGAGTCCAATTGAGCCCAAATGGCCCATCGTGAGTCAGAAGATGCTTACCAACTTGAATGGGAGGAGTAACGACAGGCACTGTCAGTCAACACAGGATGGAGATAGGGATAGGTCAAATCAAGAGAGTGACATTGGTCGGAGTTGGTAATATAAGAGCTAAGGGTGACTAGTCGGAGTGCGCAAATACAAGAAAAGAGGAGACAAGTGAGGAAAAAGAGGAAGACTGCAGAGGATGTTGAGACGAAGACAACAAGACAAGACGGGAAATTGCACAACAAATCCCAAATGGGAAAGTGACATGCAACAGCGCAGTGCACTGGCTTCAGATCCACCACCACCGCCATTATCCTCGCATAAACCATACGACTCGAAGTTGTCGAAGCATAGATTGCACCGCCTACAGCCATTTGCAGAGGAGTTATCATCTCCGAATTTGCAAATTGCCAGTGTGACCGAGATTTGTGATACCATCATGTGAGAGGCCAGGAACATCGGTGGTAGGGAGCGAGGTCAGATTGATGGATACAGTGTCGCTGTGACCGTATTTTTCCCTGCTGCAGGTTCCCATGGCCTCCACTCAACATGGGAAAAGAGGCTCATCACTCAAGGTTAAAAAAATCTTGGACAAGGCACAAGCCAACCGTCAGCCCTCAAGAAATTGATATGTAGTGTGGGGTGGTCCCGCAAGATCGCCAGACCGCAAGTCCTAAGTATCGTTACATTGCTAGTTTTCTTAGTCTACTTTAATTGATCCCTCCTCCGAAAGTGATCAGATGCCCTCAACCTCTGCCGCTTTCACAAGACTACTGCCCGCATTTTGTTTACATGGAATTTGCCGAGTGCCGACTACTCGGTCAAGTACCGTGACTGCGGAGAAGGACCCTCAGAGCTGAGCAGATGATAAATAGATATCTGGACCTAAGGGAGGTTCCACAGCAGCGTGGAGAAGTCCTATTCGACGCAGGTACTGACTGATTCTGTGCCCCAATACCCCTTACATTGTCCAAGGAGACTATCAGTAAATACCACCTTATGTATCTCAAAACTCCACCACTAAGCCCACCCTGGTCAAAACACAAACCCGCAGATTCCTGGCTTGAGAATTCAGTTCAATACTTACATCGCCCTACCGTCGGAATCTCTGTGCAGGACTACTGGTATCTCTCTTCTGATTGACCACACACCGCAAAGATACCTCGTCTGCATTCATCGCGGAGCCTTCGCTATGCTATTAGGATGAGAGTGAGACTCTACCTATTAAGGATCATGGAATGAGTGCTTATTTGAATTGCAGACTTAATCTGTGCATATTAGATACTAATATTTCAGGTACTTGTCCTTTTTCGAAGGCGAAAATTCACCTGCGGTAATCCCTCTAGGGATTTGGGAACTGGCCTCCTAGTTAGTTAAGGCTTAACGCTTAGTTTGACTAATCCACTAGGCCTAACTAACTAGTTAGTCGTCGCTTTCAGGATGTTTACAGTAAGGTACTTAAGTGTGCCCCTGTCAAGCATGCATCAACCCCTGGAGAAGAGATTCCTCTGTTTATTTTGTTTGATCCATAAATCAAAACAACGCCAAGAGGATATAACACCATTCCCGTGTCGTAAAACCAAGCAACTCATGACGCATAACTCATAACCCGAAATCGTTAAGCATGATAGAAACATCACCCCCGGCCAGTAAGAGTCTTCGAGCTGCGCGCCAACTCAATACAGAACTCGCCCCATTCGCTTCCTCCGGGCGACGGCAGGATCTCCTCGGCAATCGCCTCCTCAAGACGCTCCCCATAACGCCGACGATACTCGTTCTTAACCTGTTCCAGGTGCCGTGGCTCCCAGTGCAAGCGCACCAACCGGGAGATTAGAAGTTCGGAGCGCTCCTTGCCCGAACGAGTCTCCCTGAGAGCTTGGTGCAACAGCAGAGCATCGCGCATGGGTCGGTTGATAGCCCCGTTGAGAATATGCGCGAGTGTTTCACCCTGTCATCAATCCAGTTAGAAGAAGATCATGAGATACTCGGAGAATTAAGAGTGGAGATACGTACCACAAGATTCTGTGACTTGGCAATCATCGCACGGGCAAAGTTCTGGTTGTAGATCTTCTCATAAGCGCGGAGCACCTCCCGCAAATGTGCGTCGCTCCGTCGTACAATAATGTAGATCATTGCGGTCTCGCCCCCGTGCCGTGACATCAGCGCCCCGTACAAGTCCCGAACATCGCGCTGGACCAGATCGGGATCGATGGTCTCACGCTCGCTCTGCCGGGTTTCCTCAAGGGCAAGCAGCACCGCAACTCGAAACTTGTCTGCCTTGAGTTCCGCCTTCATGCACTTTTCCAGGCTGTCCAAGTACCTTGAGTCACGAAAACATTCCTTGATCTCACGGATGTCGCTATTGCTACGCCCCATCAGAGACTCGATGAGGAGTTCTCGCCGCGAGGTGCTAGACTGATAGTAGCAATTGGCCCAGTACGCTTCCGACTCCCAGCGGCCCAGGGCGGTTGCGTAGCATACTTTTCCAAACGCACTGTTGCCCAGCTTCAGTCGGATATGTTTCGCCATATTGATGCCTTTGCCCTGTAGCTTCACGTGACTCTTGTATTCCTTGCGCAAGTCTAGCATTTCCTCGCTGGATAGGTGAGGCAGCACACGAATGAGAGCCTTGGTATCAATATTGATGGTGTGCGACAAAGCCTCCTGCATGGTAATTGCGTCCGGCACGGGGTCATAAAATGTGACCTTCTTCCGGACACTGCCGGGTGAGATCAGTACCACTGCCTGGTCTTGAGATTCATGTCGGCCGTGACGAACCCGGCTGCTGTCACGTTTAGCGCTTCCGGGCTTCAGCTCTTTGCGATCCCTTTCGTCCTTGGACTTCTTTCGCGAGTGTTTCCTCCTCCCGTCCGCGTCTGAGCTTCCGTCAAGTGGTTCAAAGTCAGAGATGTCGTCGTCGAACCTGGACGGGACCACAATCGGAGACGGCATAGGAGATATGGATTGATATGTGCCCTTATAAGGCTCTAGCATGGGGCTTGCAGGTCGAAGATCTGGGTCAGCACCCGCGACTGAAAGGTTGTTCGCAGAGGAGACAGAATGACTGGCAGAGCGGCCAGTGGTCCGATTCCCGGGCGTTATCTCGATAAATCGCTGTTCATTCTCCGGCCGAGTGGTCGCGGCTGGCTTCTGAAATTGGGGGACTGCGGAGTATTTGGCCCTAGTTGGTTGGGATTCGGCTGTCGGCGCTGCACTCGGTTTGGAGAACTGGGGTGTCGTAGAATACTTGTACGGCACTGCACCATTCTTGGGGCCATATTTCACATTTGGATCGACATGGGCGTATTGAAAAGGCGCAGGATTAGCGTACGCTGGATGCGTATTTGCATCGCTTGATAAAGCGCGCTGATGGGTCGGAGAGCTGACGGCCGGAGCGTAAGCATTGGAGACGGAAAGCGGACGATTGTTGGGAGGCGCGTATGGATTCTGATGCCCTATATTCGCATATTGAGGCATTGAAAAGCCGGGAGCAGTAGGTGCACCAGTCATCTCAGGGTAGGTCGACACAGGTTGCGGAAATGCTCCTGGGATCGATTGCGTCTCGGCCTGTGATGATGGCGGCACGAACCCCGGTCGTTCGCACTCTGGGATGGGGGCCCAATTTGACTGCGGCGCAGATGACGTCGAATGATAGTTAGGCTGGTGTTGGCCATACTGTGATGGCATGGCATACTGGAACTGTCCGGTTCTGGCATAGCTGGGATGATGGCCGGGAATGTCCTCATCTGAAGCATGACGGGAACGAGACGAATCCTGCTTGAAAGGGGGAGCGCCATTGAGCGCCCCAGACATAACTGGACCATCTACATGAGGCGAGGGCGCACGCGCTGGCTTTCTATATCCGTAAAAATCACGCTCCAGATCGCTAGGGACATCGCCATAGGCCAGCGCCTCATCGTCCGTGTCCGAGTAAGAGTCATCCGAGGGACTATCGTACCTCACTGGTCGAAGGTTCGGCGAGCGCGGATAGCTTCTGTCATCGCGCTTTGCAGACTTGCTTTCCCCCGCGTCCGATTGGTAGTAGTGGTCGCGACGTCGTTCGCTGCGCAGATATTTGTCTTTGCGATCATCCCGTTCTGACGCCGAGTCTGAGACATCGTATCGAGAACGGCTTTGATGACTAGCGATTGAAGTGTTGCTGTCTCGGGGGCCCCGGGATCTCGACCGTAGATGGTCGTCCCTCGCATCGGTAACGAGATACTTTCTCTCCGATGACCTCGCAGCGTCGGGAGCGGTAGAGGGCTGTCGGCTGTCGCGAGATTTGGAACGATCGCGGATGCGCCCGCTCGGAGACTTGGAACGGCCACGCGACCGTGGGTCAT